CTCGTATCCCTGAACCCGACAAAACTCACAAATTCTGAAAACCCATTCGAATACGAATCCAACCATGCAAGTTTTAATTAAATCTGACTCCAAATCGATGTTCAAAACCCAATTATTCACTTTAGAAAAGTTTTTCCAAACCCCCCCCCCCCCCCCAATTTCTCTTTTAGATTCGCCAATCGAATGCCAAAATCAAAGATAGAATCATGAATAATAATCAAATCCGAGTCAAGAATACTTAACCCAATCCAGGTGGTAAAAATGCCTTCAAATGTCGCTCAAATCCGAGCTCCCAATCTCAAAATATGATAAAATAAGCCAACCCTCAAAATATAACAAGGTGCAAGTGAAACCGCATTTGCGGACAAACAGTCGTATCTGCGACACCGCTTCTACGGCACAAGCCTCGCATCTACGAGTATCCCTCAACAGGTTACCCATCACATCTACGACAAACCAGCCGCATTTGCGACTCTGCATGTGGAGATCCTCAAGCGCAGAAGTGCAAATCCTCAGTCTGCACAAGTTTCGCAGGTGTGCACCTCCAACCTTAGGTGAAATTTTGCATATGCGGCCAATCCTCCATAGATTCGACATACCAAAAACAACAACCCACGAAAACTCCAAAATGATCTGAAATTAATTCGAAACATACCAAAGCCCTTCGGGACCCTGTCCGAATATACCAACAAGTCCCAAAATTAACACGGACCCACTCAAGGCTTCAAATCCCATAAAATAACATCAAAATCACAAATCACATCTCAATTCAATCTTAACGAACTATTTCAAATTCTCAATTTCAAAACTTACACCAAACACATCTAAATAGCTCGTAATTACCTCAAATTTTACATAGAAGTTTGAAACAATATAATGAACCTATTACAACTCCTAGAATAACAATCTAAACCCCTTAACATCAAAGTCAATTCCTGGTCATATCCTTGATCTTTCCAAACCTTCAAATTGCCGATGTTCGCCAAATAGAGCTAAAACATTCTAAAAACATCCAAATAAATTTTAGACATACGCCTAAGTCTCACCAAACGAACCTATTGGAACCATCAAAACTCCAATCTGAGATCAAATACACAAAAGTCAAACTTGGTCAACTCTTCCAACTTAAAGCTTTCAAATTTAGAATATTCTTCCAATTCAATCTCGAACCACTCGAAAACCAAAATTGACCATACACGCAAGTCATAATACATCATATGAAGTTACTCAAGACCTCAAACCACCAAACGAAATGCAACTTCTCAAAATGACTGGTCAGGTCGTTACACTTGGGAACATACTTAAACATGCTTTGAAATACTCCCAATGTTCCAATTTATGTGAACCTATTTGACTGAGCACGGAGTTTAAGAAAAATGAAGACTTTTGGAATTTGTGGTCCGAAACAAGTCAAAAAAGTGCTTAGAGTATTTGTGTGGCTATGAAAACTTCTCATTAAAAGTAGAATTGGATGTTTAAGCTAACTTGTTTCTAAATTTAGAAAGTGGTCATTCTTTTTAGAGCAGACCAAAAAGAAAATAGGTTCACATAAATTGGAACAGAGAGAGTACATTTTACAGGAATAAATAACGTAGATATCTTTAACTACTAAGAGTAGAACCATTAAAGGAATAACATTACATTTACGTTTCATTACTTGGATCATGCCAAAAGAAGGAACGATTAGCCTTAAAATACCTGGTCTCAACTCACTAGCTCAAGAGCTCAACTCATATCTACTTCACGACCTATATGATAACAATAATGATACTATCGTCAACCATACGAACAATTCTCTTAATCGCATGACGAAAGGTAACCTATCCGAAAACGAAATGGATAGCATTTTCCCTAATCTTATCACTCCCTCAAGCCTAAGGCTGTTATGTAGTACGGGCCCGGGTCTAAATGGGCTAAACGGGCGGTCCCGGGCCAAACCATCCCTAGGTTAACGGTCCTGGAGGGGCTAAGTGGGCGGTGTCCACGGGCCTAAGTGTTCCGGGCTATTTGTTTTTGAATTTTTTTTATCTAAGACAATTTCTTGTAAATTATATTATATAATTGTGACTTAAATCTTCTAATTCAAATTTAAACACAAAAAAATTGTAAAGAAATATTCAAGGAAATGCTTTATAATTTTTATTATTACGACATTAGCAAAAAATGGCAATATCTCTCTTAGTCTTCCTCCCCCCAATGGAATGAGCACAACAAGGTGCTAATACCACCATTAAAAGGAAAAGAAAGTAATGAAGATGTGCCAAAATACAAGTTATATATTAGTCTACATATTATCTCTAACAAATTTCATAAATCCTTCAAGGTTCGGAGGAATTTCCGTTGGTGGTGGCGGAAAAAGAAGCTTATTCATCACCGCTTCCGGGCGAAACAGCATCCTCCGCAAGTTTCGCTAGCATTTCTTCATAAGCTTCGTCTATCTTCGATTGTGATTCAGCAAGTCCAAAATTTCTTCTTTCCGAACGGATCCAATATATGAAGAGTACTAATTTTTCCAAGCTCTCCCTCATAGACGCTCTATGATCACCGATTTGAAGTCTCGCTTGACTGAAAGCGCTCTCCGATGCCACTGTTGAAGCTTGAATATTTAAAATATCTCGAGTCATCCTTGAAAGAACCAGATAGTGTTTTCTTTGACCTTCCACCATTCCAAACAAAACTATGATATTAAAATTTAAGAGTTGGAACGAGTTTACTGAATTGACGAACAACTTCTTAAAAATTGTATACCGTTGAAGACTTGAATACTTCAATTCACCAACTTTATAATTTTTCACAAATTGCAATAATAAAGTAAGCAATTATAGAAGAAAATTAGAGAGAGATTGATGACTTTGTGAGTAAAAATGAAAGAATGAGGGGGTATTTATAGTTGAGAATAGGAAAAAAGTGTAATTATAAGAAGTTTGGTGTTAAAACAAAGTTTGGGGGGCAAATGGATATTTTTTAAAAAGCCAAACGGCTAAATTGGCAGGCCAACGGCTAGTTTTTAAATTTCCAACAGTTGGCCAATTTAAAAAATAGTCGTTGGGCCTGTTAGGCCCGGTTGAACCGGCCTAGGCCCGCCAACCGGTCCCGGGCTCGCGGTCCTTCCATGCTGGACTGGCCTACAGTGGGCTCCTAGGACCGCTTGAGCCCGGACCATACGGGCCAGCCTGTTTAGCCCAAAGCCCATGTGGGCTCCCGGGCCTAGGCCCGGACCACAATACAGCCTTACTCAAGCCTACCAATAGAAAAGGTAATACAACAACATAACCAACAACTCCTATAACAAGTTTTACAACTCAAACAACAATACAACAAGCGGCAAGCTCGACTACAATTATCAAACATACTTCTCCAATATTTTCTTTCCTTTAAAACACATATCAATGACAATAACAATAATATACTCAAGTTACTCCAACAATTTTCAGCCACTTTAAACAACTAAACCAGCTAAACAAATCCACATAGTATGGCAAACGACTCAAATACACCATTCGTCTATTACTTCCATCGTAAAATGACTAAGTGTAACTACAACATCAACATGTATACTAACATAGAGAGAAAGAGAGGTTTTACCTTATAATACCTTCATATATTCATAACTATAACTCAGCACCACTTTCAACAACTATACATACCAAAAACAATGTCAACATGCCATACAATATACTCAACTAATTGCTTTCATCATCTGCTCTTCAACTAACAACTTATTAACAACTAACATAATTAAATCATCCAAAATGTCCAGCACACAAACAACTACTTTATATAGTTTCCAGCCTTATATCCATCATAAAAATAACATTAGACAACCCAACACATCTCAAGAACATCACAAACAACTTTCGAGTGCTATCTTGCAAGATCTCAACCAAACAACCTAGCGAAGGCTTAGATATGATCAAACTCATATAGAAGAAGAGGAGCTTACCTTTAAACAACAAGAAAAACTCCAAGAACAACTCTCCTTAAAATTGAAAGAACTCACAACTCATCAACAACACCATATAAGTGATCTCCACCACTTCTACAACACTTTTAGTGAAAAACTTAGGTGCTTTGGCCTTGAATTTGTGTATGAACCTTTACGATGTGCTTAAAGAGAGTTTTGAGGTGCTTGGAGGTCTGGTTTTGGTAAAAAATGAGACTTGGAGACGAAGGCCACCATTTTATATAACAGGATAAGCGTCTACTGACTTTGTGGGTCTCAATGGGAGCTGCTTGTGCAGTCTCACAAAAACACAAACGTCTCTCTACTCCGACATCGTATCGACTAACGATTTAACGAATTGAAAACTAAACTCGTAGATCTTCAATTTGGTGGATAGATCACCCTGTAATGCTAGGTACATTGAGAGAAAAGCTCAGTAACATTAAACCCAAATTTTCAATATTATGAACCTAACTTGTGACAACTTTTGCCGTCTTTTATTTTACAACTCGCTTGACTTTAAAACTTAATATACGACTATTATACGATTCAAATACCTCATAATATGATCTTCTTGGTTTGTTAAGAACTCCTAGTCATACCCCAAAGATACCGGCTATAACATTTCCAATTTGCCGGCTTTTTTTCAACTCATCCAACTTCTAACCCTCTTAGTACTTGCTGATCATGATCTTAAACCTTTGTAACTTCAAAGGTAACATGATTAATTTTGTATAATCTCAAAAATGATTTCATTTTCGAGCTTATGTCAATTGACTTACGATGTACGAAAATGCCTGAGGTAATATTCACAACACACACGTACACACAAAATAAAACATGGTATAGAGTTCGGATTAAAGTTTTAAATTGTCAATATGTAGCTAAAGTTAAGTATCACCATATCTATAATCTCATGATACTAATAAGAACACTATTCATTCCTCCTCCACCCCCACCCACCCAACCACGCACAAAAGATAAAATATGGCACAGAGTTAAAGAGTAAAGTTTTAATTGATTTAAGAACAAAAAATTATTAAAAAGCTGACAGAAGCCTCTTTTAACACATTTGGGCGCGAGTGAATTGAAGAGACTCCACCTACCTCTTTTCTTTACATTTCCTCCACAACTTCACCAACCCATGATATGCAATCAGTATAACATTACTATTGCTGCTATATAAGCACGTTTACCTATACAATTATTAGCTCATTAACAGCAACGATACTCCCCGCTCTTCAAGAATCCATCAATCCAAGAATGTGTTCACCTTATTAGATTCTGCTGATGCTGTTTTCAGATTGACCTTTCAGGTACTTTTCCTTTTGGATATTTTCCCTTTTACAGTATCAAATTTTATCAGGGTTTCTTTGTATTTTTCCCTCTTCATTCTTGGTTTTGCTTTTATTGAAATCTTAAACTTTCACATATGAAGTTACAGAAGAAGTGATAATGAAGCTGGATTTTGGAGTAAAAGATTAACTGGGTGTTTGAATTTTGCAGAATTTGTTGTTGCTGAGCTAAAATGGCAGCTCTTAAGCTCTCAGGTGCAGTAAGGATTGGAACTAGTAGTAGTGAATGTGCAAGAAGAACCTTAAAGAAAGTTTTTCTAGTCAAGACTTCAACAAGGAATAATTATGTTGGATCAAGATTTGTGAAGAGGTCGAGATTAGACAATGTTGTTAAGAATTGTGGGTTAGTGAGTGATGAACATTCTGTAGATTCTTCTAATCTTGAAGAAAAATTTGGCTCAACTAGAGACCAACTCTTAACTGAAGGAGCAATGTAAGATTTCCATCTTAGCATTAAAGTTATAACACTAGCTTTTGTCACTATTTTTTTAATTTCAGTTATTTTAATGTGACAAAAAATGATTTTCTGACATAGGTAAAATTCAGTTAGTTTAATTTTGTGAGAAAAGATAATTTTGTGGCTGTACTATTAACAAAGGCTAGGATGTAAAGATTGAAAAGCCTCCATGCTAATCTGTTTTTACAAACTTCTGTGTGGAAAACTCTTTTGTGTGATTGGAGATGTTACACTTACATAGGGGAATCAAATAGTGTTCATCTTTTGCTATATCTTTGTTTGACTGTATAATTTATGCATTGGTTACCAGCACAAAAAGATATGTTTGTGTGAGAATGTGATGGGAAATTTCTAAGTGCTATGCCTCAGTGCATTGCCAGGAACTTCTACTGAACAATTCCCAACTCAGGATGTACAAACCGAGCTTATAATGCTTTCTTTGCCTGCTATTGCTGGTCAAGCAATTGAACCGTTGGCACAGCTTATGGAGACAGCTTATATTGGACGAATGGGTTAGTTATTGTCCAATCTTCCATTTTGTTTATGCTTCTGCCCCCATTTACTGCATTATATTGCTAGTATTATCCTGTTATTTCTTGATGTATTTCTCTCCTTTGAGAATTGTTTCTTTGTTTGTTGCTAAATGCACCCATTAATTGATCTTACTTGACATTATATGTCACGCAATGCTGGTTACTTCTTTGGTTGAGCTTCCTAACTTATTCTGAGAAATAAATGTAAGACAGTAAAACTTCAGTCTTCCTGTTGATTTTATTCTGTGAACTTCGAAATTTAGTGCATTCTTTCAAGCAATTGCTTTGTTGAATTCTTTACAGAGAAACGAGAGTTCCACAAGGTTCTCGCTTGGATTTTGAGGATTTTATTGAATGGTCCTTCAAACTTTTTGCCAATTACTTTTTTGGTTAGCGCATGCATCATTTTCCTAACTTAATCTTTGTATTATTTTTTTCATTGTTGCAGTATTTCTATAGATAAATGTTTATTGGAGATAGTGGACTCCACTTCATACCTGACAAGCTCTTTGCTTTGATTAAAGGTGCATTGGAGTTGGCATCAGCTGGCATTTCTGTATCAATCTTTAACATAATATCGAAGGTGTTTAACATCCCTCTCCTGAGTGTGGCAACATCATTCGTGGCAGAAGACATCTCCAAGTATGCTGATGAGGACTCAGCTGCTGGTAAATTTGCATAGGTGCTAAAGGGGGATCTGCTTATAAGCATGTCACTTCTTAGATTACACATATTCACACAGTCACACATTTATCTATATATCTATACAGATGGTAAATAATTACTCCCTCCGTTCCAAACTTATGTTACCCTTTTTCGCTTTTCGAGAGTCAATTTGACTAATCTTTGAAGCTAAATTGGATTAAATTAACTCAATATTTTAAAGTTAAAATTTGGACATTTAAAAACTATACGAAAAAATACTATAAGTTGCAATTCTTTTCACGTCAATACGATGTAAAAATGCATTTCAAAATGTTGGTCAAAGTTTACATAGTTTGAATCTCGAAAAGCGAAAAGGTTCATATAAACTGGAATGGAGGGAGTAATAGATTAAGATTATTTAATTAGCACTGCCTCTGAAACAGCAAAGTGTTTCCTGAAACAGCTGAAAGAAAGGCACTTCCATCTGTCTCCACTGCCTTAGTTTTATCTGCTGGAATTGGTCTGATTGAAGCCGCAGCAATGTATCTTGGTACTGGAACCTTTCTCAGCATCATGGGTTTATCAACGGTAAATAATCCTTATGCATTTGAATAGCTCGATGTGTTGTTTAAATGCTATTATATTTTAAGCTTGTGTACTTTCCCATCACAGACCGGCATATATGCTTGCCGATTGAAATTTGATTATGATAACGAGATTATTTTGAACCTTTTTCAACAGGATTCAACCATGCGTATTCCAGCAGAGCATTTTCTTAAACTTAGAGCGCTTGGTGCTCCAGCTGTAGTGCTTTATCTGGCTGTGCAAGGCATCTTTCGTGGTTTTAAGGACACAAGGACCCCTGTAATATGTTTAGGCAAGTCTTCTAAACTATTGGTAGAATATTCAAGAGAAGAGTTTTACAATTTAGGTGTTAACCTCTTTGGTTTATACAAAATACAACTCCCTGGCCCAACTCAACCAACCTTTTCTTTTTCAGTTAATGCCTTTGTGTACGTTGCATTTCTGCTGACATTCATCTTGAGGAAGTTGCTGTCTGCTTCATTGCATGCCTTCAAATAGCAGTTTGCAATCAGTAGATGAATGTGTGTACTAAATTTTCGGGATTGTAGATATGTTAGTGTACAATATATCTCCACATCTAAGTAGAGCACCTACTTTGCTTTTATTCTATGTAATGACATGTTGAGCGTCAAGTCATGTACTAATCAATCATAGAAAAACATTGTAACAGATAATTTATATTGAGCTATATCTGAAAAGAAATAGCTCTTGGCAAAGTAGTATTTACCTTTTTGGTTTGTAGTGTCACTAAATATATTAGACGAAGAAACTTCCTCAGAATATTTCTCCACCTGAAAGAAGCTAAGCTGACTCTTGCTCTGTTGGTTGAGCATGCATTTTATTTTATTTTATTGAAGATATGAATAACTAGGCATTCTATCAATATCCTTTAGTTTTTTTCTCTAACTTTAACTGGTAGAAAATGTGTGGATATTGCAGGGTTAGGGAATCTGTCAGCTGTATTTTTCTTTCCCATCTTCATGTATATTTTTCAACTGGGCATCACTGGTGCAGCCATTTCTACCGTATTATCTCAGTATGTTCCTGGAAAGTTCTACTTTGTTTTTCCATTACAACATCTGGCAAATAAATTAATGACTTTAAATTGCAGATACATTGTGGCCATTTTGATGTTATGGCATCTTAATAAAAAGACTGTATTGCTGCTGCCAAGCATTAAGAACTTGCAACTTGGTGGCTATTTAAAATCTGGTAAGTGATTTATGTTGAGCTAATTAATTTGTACGAATTTTTTTATCAAATTGTCCAAGCTGTTGTATATGACTTACTATGTTGTTGCATGATAATCAAGAAAAAACAAGACATTCATTCAACCGGTGCTCCCAGTACATTAGTTTAGCTTAAACAGGCCTGTTCTCAGAAAATTTCCGACTTCAGATTATAGTTACAGTCCTTGCTGTAAGAGTTATAAAACAACTACTTGAGCTAGAAGCTTAGTCATAAAGAGGAAAAGATGTTCCAATATACTAGCAGTGATGCTTTCATGTATGTTTCACTGTAGTTGAAACTTCTGGAAATTCTAGGAAGAAACAAAAATTAATCAAAAAGCTTCATAACATGATCTAATTCTTTCTACTTTGAAGTTGAATTTCTAGTATTAGCTGTTCTGATGATTAATTCATCAAAAATGATGTTCCTGTAAGTAAGCTAGTCCGTTTATTATTGGAGAGTCTGAATCTCTCGTGTTAGTATCTGTGGGGAGTAAGTTTCGAACTTTCATGTGGCATTAGGTGGTTTTCTTCTTGGGAGAACTCTAGCTGCTGTTCTTACAGTAACTTTGAGCACATCAATGGCGGCTCGATTAGGAGCAATACCCATGGCGGCCCATCAGATATGCCTGCAAGTATGGTTGTCTGCCTCGCTATTGGCAGATGCCCAAGCTGCATCTGGTCAGGTTAGCATTTTTTACCCTCTATTTATTCATTTGTTTCCATTATGAATGAGTTTGCAATTAAATTTGCATGCTGATGATGGAAACAATGATAACTGAATTTATGAGCTAATAAACCTGCATGGAACATTTTCAGTAATTTCAATTTAGATGCTAAAGTTTTCTTTGGAACATTTTAGGTCTTCGTCATAACTACAAAGACACTGGACAAGTCAGTAGTTCTCAACAGACTTCAGTTGAATTTATGAGCTAATAAACCTGCTTTTTATTTCGACAAGTAAACCATTTTGTTTAATTTCATTTTGTTGAAATCACACCTAAATCTGTTTACACTGCGAAGTCCAATCTTGTATTTCTATTTAACATTTTGCTTTGTTCACTGTGGTTCTAATCCTGTACGAGATCTTCTGCAAAACATCAAAGCATGACAAGTATATGTCCTCATTGAAGAAATCTGTTTGACTTTTACTGTATGACAAACATAGATTTTCGTTTTTCATTTTGCAGGCTCTCATTGCAAGTTCTTTTGCAAGACAGGACTACAGCCGAGTTAAATTGATCACACATGTAGCTTTAAAGGTTAGATAGACTTTTTTTGCATCTTATAGCTCTCCTAGATGGAAAAAAGTCGAGACATCCTTAGCTGTTTCCTGTTTTCTTCTCTCTCTCTCTCTCTCTCTCCTTATTATCTTCTTTTTCTTTAATCTCTTTTAAGTTTTTAACAAAGTGCACTTGGCATTTTCAGACTGGATTAGCTACTGGGGTTTTGTTAGCCATTATTTTGGGTCTGTCCTTTCCTTCTTTTGCGAAGTGCTTCACAAACGACTCTCAAGTTCTAGATATCGTTAGATCTGGTTTACTGGTATGCTTTATCTATTCTGCACTTAGTTTATGTGTTCCTTTCATTGCATCTTCCTCAGCATTTTGTGTCCAATTTCTTACAGTTTGTCAGTGCCAGTCAACCCCTTAATGCTCTAGCCTATATCTTTGATGGGCTCCACTATGGTGTTTCAGATTTCCCATTTGCAGCTATCTCCATGGTAAGCAACCTCTATAAAAATGGTGCAATAATTAAAAGAAAATACGAACTTTGTACTGACGTTTCCTCACAATTTGTAGATGATCGTGGGTGCACTCTCTTCAGTGTTTCTGCTTTATGCTACTCCTATAATTGGTCTTCCAGGAGTTTGGTCGGGTTTGACTATTTTCATGGGATTGCGCTCTGTGGCTGGTTTCATGAGGTAATTTAACTACCAAATAAACTACTATATGTAGATTAGGAACTTACAATCTCGAACCTAGACCTGTTTGATTATTCTTGACTTCTTGGCATTTAGAAGCCTTCTAAAATGTCAAATTCCCCGTAAATCTAGTGAACTCGTCCCCCAGCATCTTTTCGGATCTCTATTCCCACATTTATATGCATCTCTTTTACAAAAGAAATGAAGGCCAACGTTTTCTTTTTAGTTACTTTTCAAATCTGCAATTTTCTTTGGGTGTTTTAGGGTGGGGGCGAGGGGGAGGGTTGACTTGTTGAATCTACAACACGTTGACAAGAGCATCATTTTTTCTAAAATATAAATAAGAGCCATAGTCAAGGGCCTTTTGGTTTAACAATATGTTCTGTGGAAATTGAATATGTTGTTAGATTCTACATTCTGAAGTACCTTCCATCCAGGACCATTGCTTCACTCTGTTTGCATAATTCTTAATTCATGTTTCTATTTTAGATTATCAGCGAAGAATGGTCCATGGTGGTTCTTACAGGACTCACAAGAAAATGAGGTCAGTTGACTTTAACTTTCAATATGGTTCACTAGTCAGGTCACAACATGCACTAATGTTGATGTATTGGCTTCTCTTTAAAATTTTAACTTCTAGATAGAATGGCATGAATTCTGGAATCTGTATAACACATGTAACCCACATCCACCTCTTTCCACCCCTACCTACCACCCCAGCCCAAAAAAAATGAAATTGAAATTGCAACTAGATTCTGGCAATTGAAGAAGGATCTCGGATACTTGGCAAAAATATGAACCGCTTTAATACTTGTATTGCTGCATTGGTGGTCGAGGGAGAAGAAAGGGGGTTTAATTATAGGAGTCGAACCATGACCTAAAGCAGTATTTGAACGCCCTTTGTCACACTCTGGTAGCCTTCATTATTGTGTTAATGGAATTCAACAATCAATATATATACATAAAAGAAATTTTCACCTATACACAGTTTAATTTTCTGACAAAGGGGATCAATTGATCACCTTTAGGCCAATGTGGCTCCATTACTGGCTTGCCCCTCTATGCAGCAATAAGAAGAAAAATCCTACTGCTTGCAAGCATACCTATTAGGGTCGTTTGGTTGGTGAAGAAGTTATGCAGGATTATGGTGATGGGATTATATTATGGAGATCAGGTAATAACAGGACTATTTAGTGAATATACTTTTATTGTTCTGATGGTAAGCAACCTCCACTTCCAACCAAGAGGTTGTGAGTTCGAGTCTCCCCAAGAGCAAGGTGGGAAATTCTTGGAGGGAAGGATGCCGAGGGTCTATTTCGAAACAGTCTCCCTACCCTAGGGTAGGGGTAAGGTCTGCGTACACACTACCCTCCCCAGACCCTACTAAGTGGGATTATACTAGGTTGTTGTTGTTGTTGTAGTACTTTTATTGATAGATGTTTGTTTCATTGGACTGAAAATGGGAGATACGGGATATAATATAAATATGTGTTTTGTTTCAAACTAGATAAGTTGGGAGAAACTTTTATTTCCTATTTTAATCTTGGATTTTTAAAGGACTTTGGTAGAAGAGCTTTGGAGAAGGGAATCTTTCATTTTAGTGTTTTATCCAAGGTTGGTTATGATGTTGGTATAAAAATAATACCATAATTGTGGTATAAATAATCCTAGAATTGCTAATCACGAAATGGAAAATTCAACCAAATGCGGGATAAAATAATCCTGCGTTTATCCCAAAATTGTTATAACTTATCCCACAAACCAAACGACCCCTTACTGCATTGCCCTTACCTTCTTACGCAACATTGGAATTATTTGTACTTTCGCCTTCCATTAACGCCAAATTTATGCCGTCTTTTCATGTGCATCTTTTCTCATGAGTTCCACTTTCTTATGTTCTTTCATTTCTAGGTTGCAATATCATAGGAACGCGTTGAGATTAAAGGCTGCATGATTTTCAAATGAAGTTAAAGCTTAAGGCAATGGAGCTACTATTGAACAACATACCCAAGATAGATCAGCTGTGGTGTAAAATTTTGCAACTTTAGCTACCTGGAGTAGAATCATCCGGTACTGTTCTACTCAAACCTTAGGACTTCATAGCCTCTTATTTTTCTTACAAAGTTTGTATCTTTTGAAGCCACAGATGTAAATTTCATTTGATAAATAAATGGAAGAAAAATCTTGGTCTGTTTCTAGTATGTGTAGATCAAATTGAACAGAAGACTTGAAGTTTAGCGAGAAAATGTAGAACTGAAAAATAAAATAAAACAAACTTCACGAGTGGATAATCTCATGTTCAATCTGCATAGCTAGAAAGTTTTTTTTTTTTCTGGATTTTATTTATATTCATTGACAGTGTAATCAAATTTATTATTCAAGTTACTACTTCCATTATGGTTGATTACCCGTAATTACTTTTTTAATGACATGATAGTCTAATTACGTTTTCACTATTAGTATAGTTAACCTGTCTTATTACAGTGTATCCCAATTTACGGTACAGATCATTTCTCTTGATGGAACATAACTTAAAGTGCAAATGTGTGTTATTACCAGCAATGTCCAATATTGAACTGATTGGCATGAAAGAATGATCCACACAGATGACTTCATAAAGTCAATCCTGTCCTGCCACTTCATTTCGTTCAGAAAAGACTGCCCAAGGCTTTTGCTTTCTCCTTTAGGATAAATTTCTGTATCTTTCCAGTTGTTGTTTTGGGGAGATCTTGAAATATTACTGTCCGGGGTGCCATGTAATGAGGCAAATTATCCCTGCAGAAGTTGATAATTTCTTTATCACTAACATCAAATCCCTCCTTCAACTTCACAAATGCACAAGGTGTCTGTCCCCAGTGGTTATCTGGTCGTGCGACTACTGCTGCTTCAAACACTGCTGGATGTCTATACAGAGCTCTTTCCACCTCAACTGTGCTTATATTTTCTCCACCAGAGATTATGATGTCTTTTAACCGATCCTTAATGTCTATATAACCATCAGGATGTTTAACAGCAAGATCACCACTATGAAACCGTCCACCTCTAAAAGCTTCTTCTGTTGCTTTGACATCTTTCCAATAACCACTCATTACTGTATTTGCTCTAAACATAACTTCTCCCATTGTTACACCATCCGCGGGCACCTTCTCCATGGTGGCAGAATCTCTTACATCAACTTCCTCTAAACAAAGATGTTGCACTCCTTGTCTTGCTTTCAGCGTAAATCTTTCATCTGGAGGCAAAGAATCCCACTCAGGCTTCCACAAGCAATATATACCTGAAAGGTTAATTTCACGTAGTATCACCGAATTTTATCAACTACACAGTAAAAGCACAAATTTGTTTTTGTCACGATAATGTAACTGAACTTTACCAATGACAACAATAAAGTCATAGAACTGTTTTCATGACTTAACTTTTATAGTAGGTTAAGTTCAGTGATCATACGTGAAATTAATCTTGTACCTGGACCATATGTCTCTGTTAGTCCATATAAGTGATTTACTCCAAATCCCAACTCCTCCATTCTGGAAAGGATTTGTGGAGGTGGTGGTGAACCCCCTGTCATAATCTTAACCTTGTGTGGAAGTGGCTTCCGGTCACGCGGCGACGAATTCACTATCATGTTCAAGACAGTAGGTGCCCCTCCCATATATGTCACATTGTACAATGAAATACTTTCAAATATTTCTTTTGCAGATACATGTCTTAGACAAACATTAGTGCCACCAAATGCTGCTAGACCCCAAATGAGGCACCATCCGTTGCAGTGAAATGTTGGAACAGTCCAAAGATAAATAGGTAATGAACTCATCTCATGAAGCAAAAATGTGGCAATAGAATTGAGATATGCACCTCTATGACTGTAAACAACTCCTTTAGGACCTGATGTTGTTCCAGAAGTATAGTTAATGCTAATAGGGTCAAATTCACTTATTGGCCACCTTATAGAAAAATCACTATGGCCACTTTTGAGGAGACTTTCATATTCATAAGTGTTAGAGTTGTCAATATTCTTAGATTTTTCAGAGATTACAACAAGAAGAGGTGGTTGTGTTTTCTTGATAGCAAGAAGAGATATTGCTCCTTGAGCAAGTTGGAGCAACTGTTGATCCACAAATATGACTTTTGCTTCTGAATGAATTAGCAGTGTTGATATCATAGCTGAATCAAGTCGTGTGTTTAATGTACAAAGAATTGCTCCAGCCATTGGTACTGCAAAATGCAGCTCTTGCATTGCTGGAACATTAGGGGCTAGTGTTGCAACCTACAGGAAGAATTTCAAATACATAAAATTGAGGAACTAAATCATGTAAGTTATTGTGTCATTATTATTAAATTGGTGCAACAAGAAAGAAATTGATTAAAAACCAAAAGAGTAAATATCAAGAGAGTTTAAATTTTATGCACTGACTGTTTAAGAAATATTTACACAATTAGGTTACTTAAAAGTAATTACAGGTAAGTATATGCATTAGTAACCTACAAAACATAGTAAATAACTTGGTATAATTGATTAAGTTGTTTTACACTGTAAGTATATATAACTTAAAATCCAATTTGAGATAAGTTTTTGCCGGTGAGTTTCTTCCCAATTTTTTTGTTAAATAGCAAATTAATGCATAATTTCTAGCCATGTAACATTGTTAACATCTCAAATGACAAAGAATTAAAATCATTTCTTAATGGGATATTGTATACGGTCAAAATCGAGAAGTTCGACTTTGGGGCTACTATGCCGCTCCACGCCCAACCTCGAGAAGCCCGAAGCAGAGCGTGAGGTACGACCCCGAGGTGTGTCCCTCGAGGGAGCACATCGAAGGCTCACTATAATCGATTTCAGAGCAGTACAATCGACGATCGTCATGGAAAGGCGGAAAAACTCCCAAATATACGTGGTTAGAGTTGACCATGAGAATAGTACAAATCCTTACTAAGCCATTATACAGCTGTACTAATAGCATTTCCTTGTTATTATTAGACATGTACTATGTTGGGATTCGTCCCTCCTATATAAAGGGGACCCAAACATTCTTGTGAAAAAACTTTTTTCCACTCGACACAGAATATTGAATACAATAGAACATTCTCTGCTTTTCTTGCCTAAACATACTCAACAATTACTCTATGCATTTATTGCATTGTTCTTCATTTATTGTGTTCATTCATTGTTCTTCATTTATTGTTCATCATCAACTTTTAAAAGCTGCCCTCGAGGTCCCATATTGCTGAGCTCGAGGCCCTCAGTCTTGTAACCACACTGGTTTGCTTATCATTTCTTTTTCATTTATACTTAGTATTATTCACATAACAACTAGTGTTAAGATAAATCACGTATTTTTAAAACTACAAATCAAATATTATTATTAATACCATTTTCAAGGTAAACAGATATATCATGAACAAGTTGACATAAAATCTTACCACATCACCACGAGAAATCCCCAACTGAACCAAAGCAGAAGCAAGCTTTATACACCTAGCATAGGTCTCTTCCCAAGTGTACGTCACAGAGGAACCATAGATAACTGAAGTTCTATCACTAAAAACATTAGCTGCTCTCTCCAAGAAACTAATGGGTGTCAATGGAACATAATTTGCATCACATTTGATCATACCCTCCACGGATGCCCATGGCTCAGAAACTTGACGATCATGATCCCCAGAAAGCTGGCACAACCTCTTAGACATCTTCAATGTCTTAGGAAAAATTTTGGCTACGCCACTGGTCGTAGTGCATGAAAAGTGAGCTTGATTAGAACCATTAAAGAACCATCCACCCAATCTTGAGTCCTTGAAAAAGTGACTCATGTTGATGGTGGAAGAGAGACTCATTGGAAGTATATCGGAAGAGCTGCAAACTTGCAATATTGGTCTTCTAGCCCTGAGTTGATTAGTGCATTAATATAATTCTTTAGCGTCAATAGAATGGAAATATTAGTATTATTTGAAGGATTAGAGCTCAAATATGTGCCGGTGCGGATATGATGGTTTTTGTAAGAAGCACGCACTCATCTCCATATTGTTTGTATATATATACTCCGTACCTTCCACAAAAGAATGACATTATTTTCTTGTTAATGCATTTCAAAAAAAAAAAATTAATACATTTCTAAATTTTAAACAATTTAATTTGAACATATTATTTTACTCTTAATAATAAATTTCTATTGCAACCAGTGGCTGAGCCAAATTTTTTATTAAGGGCGGGGGATTAAATTATAAAAAAATAAACCCACGTCAAACAAGCCAAGGAATGTCAATATATAGCATATATACATATTTAAAGAAATATTTACCTAGCTATATAGTGTAATTTTCCAACAAAGAGATGATGGTTGCCACCCTTTGAGTGACTCCACCACTAATTGCAACACAAATGTTTTGACAATTCAGTAAATACTATTCCTTCCATTCATTTTTAGTTGTCCACTTTTAACTTAGCACTCATGTTAAGAAAAAATAAATTAAATATGTACTTCTCAATTTTACCATAATAAGGATAGCATTTCCAAAAATATTGAAAAATAGGAAAAAATTATCTTTATCTTGATTTGCTAAAATGGACGAGTAAAAGAGAAAATATAATTTTAAGATAGTGGACAAGTAAAAGTGAAGGAAGGGAGGGAAGAGAGGGAATACAAGTGTGAGAAGTCTTCCTTTTTTCGTGTCTAAATTGTGTCATATTAATTGCATATGTATTTGATATTTCTCTTTGTAGAAACAACAAATAAACTAGGAAACCTTTCTGAAATTTTCAATCAAGAAATCTTATGAGTTAGTACGTAACCGAGTAGTAGGCTCGAGGTTTTAACTACGTACTGATCATAGCCTTTTGCTTGCTATATATCACGTGAAATAAGCTCCCTAGGAGTAGGTTGGGCGAAAATTGTATCACAATTAAAATCATACGACTTTATCAACCATCTCATTATGAGTTCAGAGTTGGAGAACTTCTTCCGTGTAAAATCAAACTTTGACTTTTAACCTATTTTTTTTAATTATATGTACAGTTTTAGTAGTTATTACTTAAAACTACAGTATTAATCAAAACGTAATATAGAGTATTTTCTAACTCTTCAAGTAATAATATGGAGGTAGTAGTATTTTTCTTTTGCACGATCCAATATAGTATAATCTGTTTACATCATAACTTGATCTCTCTTAACATTAGTTAAACTAACGTCAATCAATGTGAAGAATCTTTACATCATATATAACTTGATCTCTCTTAACATTAGTTAAACTATAACGTCAATCAATGTGATAGAGTATAATTTGTTTACATCAATATGCGATTATGATCTCTTTCATTAAGGAAAAAAGAGTTTAATTTTTGCATAAACACTCTTTGTGCTCGATTCAGATCGTTTTCTAAAATTTAGTTAATGTGTTCAAAAGTGGTAAATGTAAAACGTATGGTGTAAAAACTCTGCCTTTTCAGTCTTTATATTCTTCACGTACATGTTTAAGTTTCCTTTACTGAGCTATCATTACTCCATCTTTGGTAAAATATATATATATACTAGTACCTACTAAAATATGGTCCAGCATTGTACTTATGTGAATTGATATATATATATATATATATATATATATATATACTAGTACCTACTAAAATATGGTCCAGCATTGTACTTATCAATTCACATAGAATTACTTTTGTGGTTGTCATTATAGTATGATATTTATATTCCTTTTATTTCAACCTCCAATACATTTCTTTAATAGTAAGTTCAATCTGTTTCTTACTTATCTCTAGTAATAAAGGGTAAAATATTCGATTAGGTAAGTAAAAAGTAAGAGAGTCCATTCGTTCTAAGGCAAATCTGACATTGGAATATATATAAAAAAAAATTTGGAGCCATAATAAAGGTGAGTTTTGAACTTAATTGTTGAGTCGCCTTTTATGTTAAAGGTCGAAGAGATAAAAAAAAAATATTTGAAAGTTGTGCCTACGCTTTTACAGTTACCAAAATACCAATTAACCATAAATGTAGAGTTCAGCTTTTAGCTACTGCGCATTTACAACGGGCAGGTTGTCAATGCTAAACAGAAGGAAGGAATGAGCTACGTAGTCAATGACTAAAAATCTAAAGCCGACCTAAATTTAACCAACTTCCGTCAATCTTCTAAAAGCTTTACTTATTGTAATCTTTCTTCATTGGAGATCAAAGTACGTACTCATCAATCAAAGAACATCGACAAAACATTGAGGATTAACGATGTGATCGTGCTCAGATTGAGCTCCAATGGAGGAAAAGGAAAAATACACACTGAGAAGCTTCGAGAAGCAGATTGAAGCATAAATGAAATTTGCTTGCTTTCCAAAATATTTGTACAATGTATTTATACATGTGCACAGCTAGCACCAGCTCTAATATCCACTAACTACTAATCTAACTGCCTTATTACAATAATAGCCTAAATGTTTGCAGAAATGGCCTATACAAAAATAGCCTATGTGAATGTAAGGTAAGTACAATATGACTAATTATTAAATAATCTCAACACCCCCCCCCCCTCCCCGAAGTTGGAGATGGGAAACGCACAGCCAACTTGCCAAGTAAAGGAGTATGTTTGTTGCCTGGCAAAGAAAGTCTATTCGTTCTAAGGCAAATCTTAAATTGGAATAAAAGACATGACAACGTGGTATCAAAGCAAAAGGTTATGACTAAAGAAATGTTAGAAAGAATACAAGAGATTGGTAGAAGAAAGCTTTGTAGGGAACCATGGATAGAATTATCAAGGGCATGGTACTTGCAAAAGGGACAAATATGAACATCCCTAAACAAAAGGAGTATGGCGGTGCACGGGACATACGCTAGGTGGATGACTTACTTTGGAGGAAGGATAAATGCTTTGAGGTAGTCAAGGAGGATGACGAAGTTGTTAAGGTACGCAATGCCTCAATGTACTTGACCAAGGTTGTCGTGCTGGGGTAGCGTCAGAAGTGTGCCAACATGGAAAAAAGGGTTATGCAAGATTGAGACGTGAGAGCAGTTCTGTAAAGAGTTGAAGAGAAATTCTACTCGATTAATATGGTCTACGAGTCTAGGGGAAAGCTAAGGGAGCTCCGAAAGACAGCCACAATTCTGGAGTATGTGCGCGAGTTCACTACCTTAATGCTGCAAATCTCGTTATTGTCCGAGGAAAATTCTTTCTTCTACTTCATGGATGGGTTGCAACTAAGGGAATGGCGAACAACGGAGAAATTAACGCTGCCAACACCCAATCCAATGTCATCCAGGATACTGATGGTAAGAAGGACCGTAACAAGAAGAGGAATGCCACCAACGAAAGAAGGAGGTTCCACACGAAATTGTGTCAAACGAAGGGCTTACATCCTAAGAACCATCTTCCACTGAGACGAGCGAGGATGAAGTGGAAGTCCTGCCCGAGGACGTCTCACTCGATAAAGAGTGGGTGATGAAGATGAACATGGGGATGGACGTCGTGGAGGTCTTTGGTCAACGTTTGGTGAAGGTGGAAGTCACCCTTAGCATTTTTAATGGACACACTCTTGAAGAGATTGAGAGTATCCAAAATAACTTAGAGGGACGTACACAATCCGAGATGGAACTAAGGCAAACCATCATTGCCTTAAAGTGCAGACTCATGGAGGATTTGAGTACTATCGATGTTATGAAGGCAAAGATAGAGTCACTCGAGGAGCATGTTGATGCTGGCGTGACCGAGGCAGCCATCAATATTGTGGTGATAAGGGAGGCCAAGATCAAGGCTCCCAAACCCCCGGTATTCAAAGGTGTTCGTGATGTACAAGGAGTGAAAAACTTCCTTTGGCACTTGGAGAACTAATTCAGACATAGAAAAATGAGGGACGACGAGGCCAAGATCAACACTATCGTGTTGTACCTCTCATAGACTGCCATGCTATGATGGAGAAAGAAGATGGCCGAAGTGGATAAAGGTCTATGTACTATTATCATGTTGGATTAGTTCAAAGATGAGTTCAAGTGACAGTTCTTTCCAAAACGTATTGTATGATTCAAGGCACAAGCTTAGGGAGTTGAAGCAAACAGGGAGAATACGTGACTATGTCAAAGAGTTTGATACCCTTATGTTTCAAATCCCCAACCTGACCAATGATGACTTGATGTTCCAGTTCATGGATAGGTTTCAAAATTGGGCTAAGCAGGAGGTTCAACGCCGGAAAGTTTCATATATATACCAAGCCATAGTGGAGGCCGAAATATTGATGGATTTCATGCATGACAAATATGACAAAGGCAAAAGTCAAGGATCAAAGGTTCACAATGTCAAAGGTGGGGGAGACCGTGGCAAAGGCAAGGAGATACAACAAAAATACTCCAAGACTCAAGATTCCAAAAAGTCAAGTGGCCGTCAGGGCTAAACCGAGAAGAAGGCACGAGCCAAGAAGAAGGGATGCTACATATGTGGAGGGCCACACTGCTTCAAGAATTGTCCCGATCTAAAGAGCCTCGGCACCATGGTCCGTAAACGGAAATGAGTTAAGAAGACATCAAGTATCCAACGTGGACGAGGCCATAGCGATAGCCGAATCGTTCATTGACTTCAAGATGAAGCCTATCAATTCCAAATAAGGCAACGCTGAGATGGGTGAGGGAGATCATGACAAGGACAAAAGGAAATATATAGCCGAGATATACAAGGAGGATGACAAAATTATTAAGATACGCAATGCCTCAATGTACTTGACCAAGGTTGCCGCACTAGGGAAGCATCAGAAGTGTGCTAACATGGAAAAAGGGGTTATGCAAGATTGAGACATGAAATAAGTTCAAGAAAGAGTTAAAGAGCAATTATACTCAATAAATGTGGTGTAAGAGTCTAGTGGAAAGCTAAGGGACCTCCGACAGACGGCAACAATTCAGGAGTATGTGCGCGAGTTCACTACCTTAATGCTGCAAATCTCGTCATTGTCTGAGGAAGATTCTTTCTTATACTTCATGGATGGGTTGCAACTAAGGGAATGGCGAACGATGAAGAAATTAACGCTT